CATCAGTGTACGAGCAGAGGGAGAGAGCCCTGATACTCTGTGTATTGGGTCCTTCTTCTTCCCCGACCATCGGGCCAACGGAGTGAACCTTTACTGACTGTCCCTGTTGAGTGACATCGATGCCATTCCGGGGTACAGTTGGGGTGGAGCGCTTCTGGCCGGGTTATATAGAGCGCTCTGCGAAGCCTGCGATAAAAAGAAAAAATATATAAAGGGTTGCGTGCAGTTGATTTAGGTAAATTTATTTTACTTGTTAATTGCAAATTAATTTTATTTATTATAAATTACAATAATATGTGATAAAAAAAATGTATATGTCCATATGTGCAGGTTTTGGCATGGGAACGCATCCCTCGCATTTGCCCAATCATGAAGAGTACACATTTCGGCTCTCAACTGGGTCTTCCCTTGGGTGCAAGGTAATAATAACCTTTATTTATATTTAACACTTAAGTTATTTCAATTATCAAATTTTGTAATTACAAATAATTTTTTTCTGTGATTTTTAAGGTGGGTGGGATCGAAGGATATGAGGCACGTGGTGACGGGCACGGCTCCCATCCGAGATCAGTTGAGTTCCCTGAGAGAGACTGATGTAAGTTTCTTAGGTCATAATAATAATTATTATTTTTTTTAATTCTATTTTTTTATTAAATTCATTAATAATTATATAAAGGTTTTTTTTTTACAGTTCGATTGGGTACCCTATCAGATGTACATACAGCCTGGTCTGCTCCCGGACCAGTGTACACGAGACCGACGTCTCTGGATGTACAAGGGGTGGATCTTTTGCTGGAACATCCGAGAACCCCACCAGCCTGATAGGGTGCTCCGCCAGTTTGGGTGTCACCAGCCCACCCCACAGACGTCGATCATTACGTGTCTGGCCGACTGGGAGGTCCACCACAGAGGCCAGGGCATGACTGGGAGGGCATATACCGATTGGCGGGCCTTCCATTCTAATATTGGGAGGATGTGGACCGACGAGAGACATCAGAATGTCCTCTCAGATGTACCGGTGGATCACTTCCTGCAGCCGACAAATGGGTATACTGAGTGGTATTACAGTAGAACTGTGAGACTACTCACTGACCCTAACAACTACGCGACGATCTCACAGGGCGGCGGGTATCAGCCATATGCCGACCGGGAGAAGTGTCAGGTAAGTGTCTGGTAATTTGTGATTTATTATTATTATTATTAACTTTTTTTTAGCTGTTCATAATAGTTATTTCAATTTTATTTTCAGCATTCGGGTACGGAGGGGGCGTATTACACGTTATCGAACATTCAAGATACATTTGATACGCCCGGATCGCAGCAAAGGTTCCAGCAAGCCCATGAACTTCTATACGCTTCTCTGACTGTTGGGGGCCAGTCAGTCACACAATGGGCGTCGTCGGGGCAAATTTTATCTCAAGAGGAGTACGTCCCACCCCAACAGACACACTCCCAGCGGGCGAGGCATAGACCGGCGCCCCACACTGGTGGAGGGAGAAGACGCCGTGAACCCGCCGCTGCATTCCCCGGGAATGAAGAAGACGAAGAAGGTGAGAATTTTTTTACTTAACTACAAATATATATATATATATCTCTTATATATATATATCTCTTATATCTTATATGGAGAAGTTAGGGTCTTTCTATGAGCGACACGTGTCCAATTTGAGCTCTTAAGAAATTGACACGTGTCTGATTTAATTACGATTTTGCCATTGTTTTTAAAAGCCATTAAAATACCTTTTTTTTAAAAAAAAAAACAGAAAAGAGGAAAAAATGCTGCAACAGGTCAGAAAACTCAAACACGTAACACTCCTGATTTCCCGTATTCAACCACTCGAGTAAAAAAGTAACCCCCAAAAACAGGATTTCCCGTACTCTTTTTTCATCACTATTCTTAACTTGTTAGTTACTCGGGACCTTCTACAGTCAGGTACCTCTTGTACCTACTTAACATCATGTACCCCTTTATATCACCATTAGATTGACTCAGAAATCAATATCAACCATTAGATTCAAGGTACAAGATGGTACAAGACAAAAAAGAATATTGGTCACCTTGTACTTGGTCTTGTACCCCTCGTACTTGAAAAAACCTAAAATACCCTTATTTCATTAAAAATTAAAAATTTTAAATTAATAACTTATAAAATAATAATTGTATTTATTTTGAAGGCCATACATTTATATTATTTGTATAACAATCCTCTTTAAGTACAAAAATCATCCCAACCTTAATTTAATTTACAAAAAAATCAAAATCAACATCTCCTTCTTCCTCCTAATCCTCTGGCGGGCTCAATCCCAAACCCCTCTCACACCCGCCCCCCCGCCGCTGGCCTCAGACGCCTGCGTCGGAGTATTCCTCTCTTATTCCTATGAAGGCAGAAGGATCTTTCCGTGGATTCGACACTCAGATCCAGCCCGACAGCCCTACCAGTTCCTGTCATCCTTCACCGTGCTCAACAACGACGCCCACGAGCTCAAATCCTGGTGAGTTTTCATTGGGTTTCAGCATGACGAATATCTGGTGTCGGCCATAAATGTCGTGCTTGCAGATGGGAGCGCGATGCCGGGGTCCGTGGGAAACAGTCTGTCTTTGCGGGGTTCCTGAATCCGAATCTGGAAACGGGTATCGACACGGCGGGGGGTTTGTCCCCAGTTTGGGGCGGTCCAGTGGGATGTACCCGTGCCTGCAAATATATCGCTCTGGTGAATGATGGGTGGATTTTTCCCAGACCTCGGATGCAAGGTGAGCTTGTGCCACTGTGTGTTACCCTCGTCTTCTTATTCTATTCGTGCATTTTCAATTTATTTAGATTTAATTCACTGGCTGTTTGGAGCTGGAGTACTTGGTAGAATTTGGTCAACTATAGTATGATTCTTAAAGATTTGGCTTTTGGTGGTGTATGTTATGAGCAAAATAATCTGGATTTTGTGGTAAATAGTCAACTAATCCAGTCTTCTTTTGGTGGTGTATGAAAAAGAGGTCCAACATAATCTGACCTATTATCAATCTGAACTAATACGGTCCATCGATCTCTCCAAGTTCAGGAATCAATAATCTGACTTCGGGATTTCAAAGGCCGCCAAGGACGCCTTAGAAATCGGCAGGAAGCTCTGGCGAGAGCTCGAGTTAGCCGGAAAAAAATAGCAGCAATCGGGTGTTCGGCAACAAGGGAAGTACCAAACCCGGAACGTGTCCACACTTCATATTAGTCGGAGGTTTGTAAAACCTGAGGTCGGTTATTTGAAGTGTCTCTTTTGAAATATTATTTGAAATTTTCTATGTGCCATCTGTTTTTAACCTCTGCCCCTTTATAGGGATGGTGAATTTGATTGGAGAACACATAGACTACGAAGATTACTCGGTGTTGCTAATGGCGCTCGGACATGATACTATTGTGGCCATACGAAAAGTTAAAGGAGATAAAGTTCTTAAGATTGCAAATGTGATTAGTTAGAAATATTCTTTATGTACTTACCGTGCTGATCCCAATCAGGTAAGGTTCAATGGGTGCTCAGTACACTTTCTCCATGTATACTCCTGGGGTTTTGTGTGAAGCGGGACTCCTGATCTCCAACTGGGACCGTACTTTCTCAACTCGGCTGGCTGATCAATGAGTCCTGTGATCATAATCTGTATTTTTTCTTTTTTTTTTTCCTTTTATTTGTTTATCCATGTGCAGTGGAACTAATTTTCTGCTTACTGTTTGAGCTCGTGCGATCTTGTGCTATTATGAATGGCACTGAGCAGAAAGATTGTTCTTTTGGGCAGTTTGTTGATCGCTTATGGTGCAAATATTAAGTTTATGCAAGAGTTTAGCTATAATTTGCAGTGCTTGAGTGAGTTGTGCAGTGTTGGAGATTGGTTTTCTGTGAGAAGTTAGTTGTTATTTTAGAGATTTTCAAGTACCCCACTAGCCCCAATAGTTGCTGCAATCTCACAATGTTCACTGCTCCATGAGGAATATTAGCATGGTATGATGTGCAATGCATAACTTCCACTTTGTGGTTTTCTTTTGGATATCATAAGTCATAGTTGGAGAAATTAACTGTTTGTGATTACAAGCTGAATGAGAAAGATTTGTTAATACAGATGTGATGTTTTATGGTTCCATGCCACAAGTTGGTTGGAAGGTTCGCATGTATCTTTTCAATTTTCTTGCTTAGGTTCAATGCAAGAAACACTCAGGGCTTTGTAGCTGGTATACTGACCACACTATTAATGCTCATTGTTACAGCTGATTTTGACGTGTTGGCTTGTAATTCTGCCAACTTTGACAAAGGATTTCCTTCAATATCCTTTACACAAGGAAATTGCAAATTTCGTCCGTTAGTATAGGACTCGTTGCAAAATTAGTCATGTTCGGTGCAAATTCAGTCCTTAATTTGTTTTAGAGGTGTCACATGCGAGTCACGTGGCCGTTAGTCGTTGGGTTGAGAAATGTGTCCCATAAGATTGACAATGTTACAAATTTAGTCCTGTATATTGAATAAATGGTTTTTTACTATTTTTGTTGAAATTTTTATGTCGTGAATATTTAACAATCTTTGATAGTAAAAAAAAATGACAAAAAAATTAATTATTATACAATGTTTTCTATATTTCAAATTATTTTTAATTCAATAATAAATATATTTAAAAATAATTATTTAATTATATAAAAAATATGGAACTGTAGAAGTTAATAAAATTTTTAAAAAAAAGATTAAATAAAAATAATACAACTACGCACTATTGTTTTAAAATTTGACCCAGTTGAGTTAACAATCGGTCAACTAAACAGTTAGATAACCCTAAACTCTTGTCCCTAAATCATAAAACATATTCATCTTATAACATAACATCTTCATCTTATAAATTGACATGTTTATTTTACAGTAAAACATATTTATCATGTTAAGAAACATATTACGTACAAAAACAACTTATTCATCTTGTACAATATCAACATATTCATCGTTTTAATAAAAATGTTCATCTGAGAAAGAAACATGTTCATCTTATAATTTAACATATTCAGCTGATAATAAAACATATTCATCTTATAAGTTGACATATTCATTTTACAAAAAAAACATATTCATCATGTTAAGAAACATATTACGTAACATATGTTGATTTTGTACGTAATATGTTTCCTAACATGATGAATATGTTTCTTTGTAAAATGAACATGTCAACTTATAAGATGAACATGATATATTATAAGATGAATATGTTTTATTATCAGTTGAATATGTTAAATTATAAGATGAACATGTTTCTTTCTCAGATGAACATGTTTATTAACACGATGAATATGTTGATTTTGTACAAGATGAATAAGTTGGTTTTGTACGTAATATGTTTCTTAACATGATGAATATGTATCATTGTAAAATGAACATGTCAAGATCTTATGTTATAAGATGAATATGTTTTATTATCAGTTGAATATGTTAAATTATAAGATGAAAATGTTTCTTAACACGATTAATGTTGATTTGTGCAAGATGAACATGTTTCTTAACATGATCAAGCTTAGTAATATTTTATATATTAAGACTTAAAATATTTAAACTTTGTCATTCAATAATTAACTAAAAAATATCATGATATTTTCATTATTATCACTTTATTTGAGTCACTGATTTTCAAGATGGCTACTAAATAAATAGTGAGAATAAAAATTTTAATGTATTAAATATTTTATTTATTGGTAATATCTTAAGATTCGTAAATGATTTATGGTTTTCTTAATAAGTTTTCTTAATAAACTAGTACAACGCCCGTGTGTTACACGGTTGTTTGCTAAAAAATTTTCTTCAAATTTAAAATTAATGAGAAAAAGTAGTTGAAAATTTAAATAATTTTTTATAAATATATATGTACATATTATTATATATTTTAGTATGACACTTGTTACTTGCGCGACTTACATGTGTTATATTATGAATATTTTTCTAACTTATAACATATAACTATATTATACATGAATCTATTAACTGAGAAATAATTTTATTTTTAAGTAATTTTAATCAATATTTTTTTATTGTTGTGAAGATAAATATAATTTATTTATTTTATATATACAATATAAATGTCATCAAATTGATAAGGGGTTTTAGTGGATTGCAAGTGAAGGAATCAATTTGCATGTATAAGTCATTTGTGGT